AGCCTGTGTATAAATTCCTATGACTGCATAACGTAATGACACAAACGTAGTGGCTTCAGACAGCACCCATTTATTTGTTTACTGTTTCTTAGTCAGAAATCCGGGCGTGGTGTGGACAGATTTTCTGTTCAGGGTTTCACAAAGCCGTGTGCTCATCTTGAGGTTGGGTCCTCCCCAAGCTTATATGGAGTCTGTGGGCAGAGTTCAGTTTCTGGCAGTTGCAGGACTGAGGTCCCTGATTCCTTGCTGGCTGTCAGGGTGGAGAGAGGGAGGGCTGCTCCCAATTCCTGGTGTCCCCAGCAGTCCCTGCCACACGGCCTCTGCACTTTCAAAGCTCACATGGGAAGAAATCCGCCACACCGAGTCCCTCTCACACCGTGACTGTCATGCTCAGGAAGAACCCAGTCATTTAAGAGCTCACCTGTATTAGGATAGTCCAATCCAGGGTAATCCCTTGTCCTAAAGTCAACTGATTTGGGACCTTAACTGTACCTGCAAGTCCCTTCGCAGTAGCACCTACATTAGTGGTGATTGAATAACTGGGAGAAGGTGAATAAGCAGGGGGTGGTTACTGGGGGACATCACAGAATCAGCCTAGCATGGCCTGGATCTTCCTTTTGTGTTCGTTGGATCATTGTTGGAAACTGAAGTTCAAATAAATGGATTGTTGTGAATCATAACAAAATATATTTTATTTAGCCATGGAAATTCTTTTTTTTTTTTTTTTTTTGAGACAGAGTCTCACTCTGTTGCCTGGGGCGAGTGCCGTGATGTCAGCCTAGCTCACAGCAACCTCAAACTCCTGGGCTCAAGCGATCGTCCTGCCTCAGCCCCCTGAGTAGCTGGGACCACAGGCACAAGTCACCATGCCCAGTTAATTTTTTTTATATTTTTAGTTGTCCGGCTAATTTTCTTCTATTTTTAGTAGAGACGAGGTCTTGGTCTTGCTCAGGCTGGTCTCGAACTCCTGAACTCAAGCAGTCCACCGCCTCAGCCTCCCAGAGTGCTAGGATTACAGGCGTGAGCCACCGCGCCCGGCCAACAATGTGCTTTTCTGATTCTGTCAAAATTTAAATCAATATGTGTGTGGCAAAATGAAGTAACACATCAAATCTTTTGCGAGATGGACTTGCCTTGCACAGCAGATTGAACATCAGATCCAAGAGAACCCACAGAGGTGCCAGCGAGCCAAAGATCAAATGACCTATTTCTGACCAGGGCTATTTTCATGGCATCCTGGTCCTCTCTGTCACACGGCTTTGTCACATGGCTTAGGCTTTGTTCCAACCTGAGTGGTTCTTTCAAAGGATCTTTGCAATGAACTTCAGAATTTTGTTTTCTCTTTCATTTAAAAAATAATAATAATAATCAGGAACGGTTCCCAAGCCACAGTTTCAAAATTGCCGGTGTGAGACGTCATGATGAAGTAATTGCCTGGGCTCCCGCCACTGGCAAAGACACAGAACCTGTGAACCCGCCATAGGCTGCTGCCCAATCCCAACCCCAGAAGGAGCCTCTGAGTCTTCATTTCTCTAATGATTTTTACACGAAGTGTCTAGATCCCCAAACCAAATATTAGCTAGTCTTGCCTGTTTTTAAACTTCCTCTACTCTGAAGTCATACTGCGTGTATTCTTCTGTGGAGCACGCTACATGCAGGACAGTTATCCCGGATGTGGGAGGATGTCGTCCATTCGTTGTTCTGCTGAAGTTTTACATTCGATGATTATTCCACAGTTTTGCCACTTCCCTATTGATGTATATGTGGTTGTTTCAGTTTTTGCCAGAAGCATTAGTGTACGTGTCTCCTGTGCTCTGAAGTCCCCAGCAGCTTTGGTGCTGAGCCCTGCTGTCCATGGGCCACTCCCAAACTATGACAGGTCACAGCAGGGACACTGAGGCAGGTCCATTCCTGGGACACAGGGGACTCCTCTGATGGCCAACTGAGGCACGTAGGCAAGAACGTCCCCAGAGTATATGATCAGGAGAATGATTGCGGAACCATATGGTGCATGAACTTTAATCATACTGGATAAGGTTAATTTGATTTCCAAAGTGCTTGTACCAACTCACACTTTTATAAGGAATGTTTAAGACTTCATGTTGCTGAAGTGTTCTGAAAACAGAATCAAAGTTAACATCTCACTGTCTTGGCTGAAGAATCTCCCCAGGCAATTTTTCCCCAGGCTCTGTTAATAACTTCCTTTCCTTTCCCCTTTCCCCTTTCCCCTTTCCCCTTTCCTTTCCTTTCCTTTCCTTTCCTTTCCTTTCCCTTTCCTTTCCCTATCCTCAGGCATTATGCCTTTATCATACAGATCCAGATGATGCTTCCTTTCAGCACAGCCACACAGGGTGGTTTCCCACATTAGAAATTGTCCATAATAAAAAGGACAAAAAGGAGTGGGGGAGAGAGGAAAGAAGGAAGACACAAGAAAAGACAAACTAAAAAGAACAGGAGAGGAGGAACTGGAAACAGCAGGTGTGGCCAACACTGTCAGAATGCAAGGAGCTAAAAGAGATGTGAACAGCACCTATGGGATGCTAAAACCTAGGAGAGACTCACTAGTTATCCATTGCTGTGTCACAAACTAGCCCAAAATTTGGAGGCTTGAAACAACCAACATCTATTAACTCAAGAGGATAATGCAAAGACCAGCACAGTGGAGCCACGGGAGGTGGGGGGAGTTGGATAAAGGGAAGGATTTTACAAGCTGCAATAAGTAAGAGGTCATGTGTGTATAGATGGAAATGATTTTGTTAGTCCGAGTTCTCCAAGAAGCAGATGACAAGGTGGGATTAAACCCACCAGCATTTATGAGGGGACGCACCTGTCAGAGAACGTGGGGAGGAGCCAGACACCCCTGGGGAAGCCGCAGTCCCAGGTGCAGGTCTGAGCCCACGTGATGGACAGAAGGAGAGAAGGTTTGTTGGACTCATCCTAGACCACAGACAACCTAAGGGGAGTTGAGCAAGGCCATGGAGGAGTCCTGAAGCCACAGCTGGCCATCAGAGGAGTCCTCTGTGTCCCAGGAATGGGCCTGCCTCAGTGTCCCTGCTGTGACCCGTCACTGGCTGGGGACAGCCCGTTGGCAGCAGGACCTCTGCACCAACGCTGTTGGGATTTCAGAGCACAGGAGCGGGGCCCTTGGCACATTCCTTGGGGGTGTGACTCAAACCTTCCTTCCTGAGGGGTCTGGGCCCTTGGAAATCAGACCCTCTCAGGCTGGGTTGCTGGATGATTCTGTTCACACTTAAAATGGGACAAGAGGAACCCTAAAGCCCCCAAGTGGATCTCTGGGTTCTGCACACACTGCTCCTGCCCCTCTGTGTGAAGCAGCCCTGTCTCCTCCTGGGGATCAGGGTCCCTCCCCGCTGCCTGGAGAGGAGGGGGCTCCTCTTCTTACCTGCTGGTCTCTGGGCACACACTGTCCAAACCGCCCTG